AAAGAGTTACCGAACCTCGGCTGAGAAACGAAACTAGTCTCACGGTTAATTACAGTGGAGACACTACATAGGCAGGAGTACAAGGTCAGAGATAACCAGGGAAGAAGCGAGAGGGAAGGAATGTGGCACCAATCATACACAGGTCAGGCAGGCGAACCCTAGGCCTATAAACCGTATGGCAGCCTAGCTGACACTCACGAGCACAGCTTTGAGGGAACACTGATGGCATCCTGCCCCCATCCCACTTGAAGCACTAGTTTGCTTCTTCCCCCATCACTCAGATATTTAACCAGGATCAAACCACGGTTAAGAATGAGACAGAACAAGTATCGGTTTGTCAAGGTGCCTCCCTGGGAGCATCAAACTGGGTGTGTGCGGAGCTGAAGGCTTCTGTCTTCAGACTCAGAGCACTGCGCCGGGGGAAGGGAGGGAGGGAGGGAGGGAAGGAAGGGTGTGCACGTGACAATAAACCAGGTTAGCACCCATCGTGAACTAGCAGAGGTTTGTTCATTGCCATCAGTTATCCGTCCCTCTCCCATTTTTTAACATCCAGCCTGAGGGACAGTTCAGGAGATCTCAAAAGCACCCTGTTTTGGTTGGTCTTAACAGACGGTATTGCACGGCTTTTGTTCTGGCATTTTCCTTTGGGCCAATGTGGCTCTTTGGAACTCCTTATTTGCTTTGAGGGAAAAGAGCTGGGATTTAGCCGGTCAAGAGAGGGATGCTTCAACGGGAGGAAAATGTCCTGGGGGAAGTTGGCGCTGGCTAGATCGTCGCCCAGCTGGGATCCCATTTGCCTCTCTATTTAGTCCATCAAATTGAACGGAAATATTGTTACTCCATGGGCAGCCACTTTCCCCCTCTGCTCTCAGCCTTTTGGAACACCTGGTTTTTATATTCACAAACGGGGGCTGTCATTGTTCTATCTCCTTTCCAAAAGGCTGAGGGGTGCTCGTCGTCAACTGGATTTCGCTACTGGGTCCTGCACAAAGCAAGTTGGAACGCAGGTTTGTTTGTGTCGGCTAAACTGAGCAGAGGAGTCTTTGGGTGTCTCAGCCAGCTTGCGGAATTCAGCTACCGGGCAGAAGTAGGCTTAGAAGGCAGTTTGGAACAAGGGGGCAAGGGTGTGTGTGTGTGTTTCCCCTTCTGCTTCAGAGACTGATATTAACAACAGCATTAGAACAAAGGCAATAAAACCTCCTTGATGTTAACGTATAATTCTGGACAGGTATAGGCAGCGGAGAGGCAGGACTGTAGACACAGCGGGGGCTGCATTCACCATCAGACTTCCCAAACAGCTCTGTGTGGGCTTCTCTCTGCCAGCGCGTGGTCGCTTAGGGTGGCAACAGTCATCAAGTATGCTGCCAACTATATTATTAGCTAGGCTGGATAACTTTAGATATGAGGCTG